AAAAAGCAAGAACAACAAATTTGACAAAATTCTACACTTAGAAAGAGAAAAGGTCAAGAAGGGCTTCGAGAAGTCCGCAAGTTTCGCAAAAACCGCAAAAATAAAAACAATTTTCCTTGCTATGTGAGAAGATTTTATTACAGCATTTTGGAAAGAAAGATAACTGAAACAGCCCTTGACAGTCAAGATTATAACCAGAGAGAACTAAGATGTCAAAGTAAGCAATCTGTTTCTAAAGAAAGGCAAGTAAGTGTTTGCGTCAGCGAAATTCGTTTTCACCGTTCACAGAAAAGAGAAAGCGAAAAAATCCTTTTGAAGTGGATGAAACAAAAACTCTGGACTTAGATTATTGACAATCAATTTAATACTACTTTTGAAGGTCCATATAGTAACTTTAGTTTCTGAGACGTTTTTATGTTCGTTACACAGAATATCCGGTTTCATTCTCTACACGCTAGTCTTGGTCGTCGCGACCTGTGTTCAAAGTCTACACACGAGAGATGATTTTCGATCGTCCTATTTAACGACGTGGGAAGAGCACGCCTTACTGGGTCACATGATAGTGGCTAATACGGGGCGGGATATTACTTCTTGCGTTCATGGCTGCTTGTCAACGCCTGGATGCCTTTCCTTTAACTTTGGTGAAGATGTCAGTCTCTGTGAGCTTAACAATTCATCATCAACAAGGCACCTTCAATACTTCACTGTGCGTCCTGGTTTCGTTTATGGTCACTGGATTACCCTAGCCGTAATTCAGTATGTCTTCACAACGCTCGGTGCGCAAGGTCCAGTCGGTCCAAATAACGCATCCGGGTATGTGGGAACGTCCCTCGAGGGCAAAGTCCAACTTAATAATGGCATTCAAGAGTGGACAGTTCCTTATACAGGTATGTATTTCATCGAGGTGTTTGGTGCTTCAGGAGCGAACGGGACCTGTACTAACTGTTCAGGTTGGAAACATGGAGGGCTGGGAGCAAGAATCGCGGGATTATTTGAACTGAGACTTGGGCAGAAGCTAAAGATATTGGTTGGACAACAGGGACAGGTCAGCTTTGATTTCCCAGGAAAACCAGGAGGAGGTGGTGGCGGCACATTTGTCACACTTATCGACAATTCGCCACTACTTATTGCCGGAGGGGGAGGAGGTGGAAGTATTTCATTGGACGGCGATCCCGGGCAAGCTGGGCAAAATGGAACAAGGAACGGCGGCGCATCGGGGTCTGGAGGTCGGAAAACAAATCCAGGAATAATATCTGGGACTGGAGCGGGCTTATGGGGCGATGGTGAAGGTATGTTTGGGCAGGCACGCAGCTTCAGAAGTGGCGGCCAAAGTGTCCAAACAATCGGCTCATTAGGGGGATTTGGTGGAGGGGGCTATGGTTTGGTTCTTCCTGGGGGGGGAGGCGGATACTCCGGTGGAGGAGTGGAAGGGACTTTCGAAATAGGAGCCGCAGGAGGAGGAGGCTCCATAAATAACGGCTCCGCGCAGATAAACGAGAGCGGGGTTAACAAAGGAGATGGGAAGGTCATTATAACTCTCAGCACTTAAAAACTCGAGCTGTTTCAGTTCACCACTTTCCTAATGAAACATGTCAGGAACTTTTTGCCGAAGACGGATAAGAAAACTATAAAATGTAGTTCAGTAGTCTTTATGGTGATATGGTTAAGGAAGACGAAATAAAAGAGATATAGAGGAATATACCTTGTCTAGTTCTTTCAGGTAGTCTACGTAAGAACTCACTTAGCTCATTCGACTGTGGCTGGCTCTATGATTAAACGAAGAGGATAGTTTCTTATCAAACTTCATCAACAAAAATCACGGATTATGGGAAAAATAGACCCTTTTCCTGACAGAGGCGGCGAAGTGTTTTGAAACGTTGGAAGAGGGTGGGGGGGGGGGGGGGGGGGGGGCTTTTTTTTTTATAAACCCATACGCATCCCCCTAAAAAAATTTTACAAAGTTCTTTTTCGTTTGTTTTTTGGCATGGCGAATTTTACCGGGTTTTGTTGGGCCTGTAAGGGGGGCGGGGGTGCTTATCTTCTACTAAGCCATACGCATACCCCTACTAAAATTTTCCAAGATGCTCTTTGCGTTGTTTGTTGGCACGAGCAATCTTCACAGTGTTTAGTGTGTCCGTAATCGATTTGCAACAACGCATCAGTAGGCAGTTGAGGGTTCAGGCGGTTCGACGGCTCTGCTTCATTGTGCTTCTTTGGTAGTCCTTGAGTCGTCTGAGGACAGAAAATGTGCGCTCTGAAGTCGCTGATGTCACAGGTATTGTCAAATACATCCGTAAAAGTTTTTTTCGGCTCAAAACGGGGGGGGGGGCTCTGCCCTACCCAATTTTTTTTTTTTGAGGGGGCTACGGATACCCCTGCCCCCCTACTTCTCCGCCTATGCCTGAGTCAGACTGAAGTAAAATATATGAACGTCATGAACCCTTTTTCCAGAGATAAAGAGTTTGAAATATGATTTTTATACCCTGTTTTAGAGTCAGGCTAGAGAGGCAAAAACCACATGCACATCCTGTTGAGAGGTACATCTGTACACGTACTGAGTGGAACCTCTATATAACTGAACGAAATCCTCGTTATAACGAACGATATTCTTCGCTCCAGAAATTGTATAGGGGCGCCCAAGGTCAATTTTCGGAAATTATCTCTTCGGAAGACGATTTGAGATCTAGAATTTTCGCGAACATTTGTTGTAGAACTTCTTGCTTGCCTGCCTCTCCCAGGATTTTCGAACATCTAAAAAATGGTATAATTCCCTATTTCTAACGGATTTTTACCCTAAAAAGGTCGCCTAGAATTTTCGGGAGCCATTTTTCTGGCTGAAATTTTCGAAAAGGTAAGTTTTGATCCCTCTAATTTTCGGATCACTAGACTTTCAGCTTGGAAATCCGAACAGATGAAAAATTTTTAGGGGATAAAAATATGCCTATATCTACCGTTTAAATACTAAAATACGTATAACAATGCTATGTGGTTTTGAACTATATTCTCGTTGGGTGCCCCTGATTGTAAAATATGTTTATAGAAAAGAACCTTGATATAACGAAACGAAACCTCGTTATATAGCGAACATATTTTCGCAGTCCCTTGGCCTGTCGTTAAATTGAGGTTCCACTGAAGTCCCACCCGACCTCAAAATCTCCGCAGCGTTTTTAGGCTTTTTTAATTTCGGCATCTGATGAGCCTAGTTTCGATTGTGTGAGCTCCGTTCCTCCTAAAGTCCCAAACTTTTTTCCCGTTAAGCTATTGGATTTGCAGTCTAGGTATCAATGTCTATGCAAGCCTTAACTTGGATTTTACCATTTCGCGCCTTCCTCTCTAAAAAAGATGGACTCAACCGCATACTGTCCACACGTTTCACGGATCGATTTCACTAAGTACTGTTTCGATGTCTTTCCGCTATGCCCGCAACTGGAATACAATTCATTCTTCTTGCGACAGTATCGATGTCAAGCGCCATCTTTAAAAGTAGATTTAATAGCTATAGGTGATAAATGTTTACTTCCTTTAGTTTTCAAGGAAGCAAAAGAATTGCGTTACGCGGCTATCAGATAAAGTCACGCTACCTTGTTGACACCATTAACCTCTCGATCTCGCGATCACGTTCAAGAAATTGCTCTTTAATTTCTTCTCGGGTAATATTTCATCGTCTAGTAACCGTGGAGATTTCATTTAAAAGCACAAGAAATTCAGAACTGGCAGATTCTAAAGTCTTATTGTTTTGGAGAGTTCATGAAAATTACATCCGAGTGTTTGTTTGAGTAGTGATTTGCATATGATAATTGAGGCCTCTATTCACTGAAACAAACATGGCGCTTCGCTTGCTGTTGTGGCTTGTTGTTTTTATTGTTCCTTCTCCAAGTTTTGCTTGTCCAACGAAATGTTTATGTACAGAGCAGGGCAGCAGAGGATCGGCAGACTACAAAAGGATTGTCGATTGTGCAGGAAAACTCGGTGATTTGAATAGTATTCCTTGGGACATACCAGATGACACAACGAATCTGTGAGTGAACTGTTTTTGCGTCCGTAAATATTTTATCATGTTACTTTATTTTTATTATCAGGTGGGGTATTTGGTGCGTATATTTTACAGTTCTATGTTAATATTTAATTTAAATCTGGTGCGTAGTCTTCGAGGTAAAATCATGCTACCACGAGCAGTTAGTAAAAGTAACGGTTGTTACTCGACGCTATATTGCTTGTGAAAATATATCGTCACAAAACTTCGTAAAATTTTCACCTCACGTTCATCGTACATTTTCATTTTTTAAAAGCAATTTGTCGTAATTTCGTCTTATTTTGTACTATGAATCTGATGAATGTCGCACAGGGCACAGGCATACTCTGTAGATTTCCCGCTGTTTTGAGCTATTGTAGTTCGAGCTTGATTCTGAAAACCGAAAACTGCTAAAACGATCAAAACAACTTACAGCACAAATCAGCAAATCTGTAACCAGCCACATAACTTTCGTTACCTATTTTAAATTCCTCGAATGGAAGAGATAAATTTGAAATATATTCTCTGCGTCCAAAATTTTATTCGCGTAACAAACAGGATACCGTAAAGGAGATAAATAAGTCGTCGATGATAATAAATATGACAGTTCGTGCTAGTTTGATAGTTTGTAACTTTCACACTGTGTTTTATTTGAAAGTTACATCTCATCTGAAATGAACAACTTCAAAGTTATTTTAAAACCTAGTGAGGAAATCTTGAAAAACCTCTTCGCTGTAGAGGGCTTTTTATTATTTTTAGCCTATTCGCACTATCCAGGTATATTTGTGTTCTTTATTCAAATTTTCTTTTTTGGTGGCCTGAAAGTCAAACGCACGCGTTCAAAAATCCGGTTTATACCATATAGAATATTTTATTACATTTACAGTAACATTAGATCAAAAAGTTTTTAATCCATTGTTCAGTGGTCGATGATGTACGTGTTTAATGGTCCGTTTTAATCTCTTCCGAGGTTAAAACCATGGGAATGCAGACCTTCCCAACTTAATAAAAGAATATTATCATATCAGGTATTTATTGTCCTCGAGTTCCGAGATAAAGTCGAGTTATTAAATCGCGTGTCTTTCCAAGTGCTAGTAACTAATCAACGCCAAAGGGGTACGATTGATTATTGTACCCGAGCCAACCTCACCGCGTACGTGACAATGCGCATTTTCTTTGTGCCAATATCATGAATATAGCACTTTGATAATCGTCCAAAATGTTGGGCCAGTATTGGTGCGATATATTTAGTCCAACTTTCTCCTGCTTCTATTTACTTGAATCTTATATTAACTTTGCTGTGATAGTCAAGCCAATACACGGCCCGTAGTCACTCAATTTGAAGGCGGTGTGCATCAGCTTTTGATCATGAGTTGTTTTTCTATCCAAGGCGTTATTTTTATGTTTCTAAGTCAAAACTGTTCCATTTAAAAAAACTGCTTTGATAATATCAGCCTGGAAAAGGGTAGATTTTCATCCAAGTTTAATTTTACATGTAACAACTTCCCAGCAACTTGTAAAAGGTGTTTATAAAGATCATCTTGTAAAATTTAACGCGTCATTAAACAACATGATTAGTTTCCTAATAAAATCTTTTTTTTTTTNAGTCAAGCCAATACACGGCCCGTAGTCACTCAATTTGAAGGCGGTGTGCATCAGCTTTTGATCATGAGTTGTTTTTCTATCCAAGGCGTTATTTTTATGTTTCTAAGTCAAAACTGTTCCATTTAAAAAAATTGCTTTGATAATATCAGCCTGGAAAAGGGTAGATTTTCATCCAAGATTAATTTTACATGTAACAACTTCCCAGCAACTTGTAAAAGGTGTTTATAAAGATCATCTTGTAAAATTTAACGCGTCATTAAACAACATGATTAGTTTCCTAATAAAACCTTTTTTTTTCTTTTAACACTTACTTTAAACAAATTATAGCTGCAATCAATCTTATCTGAATCACGGGTGTAGCATAAGACATTCAAATTTCAAAACATGCGTGTTATAAATTTGACGATTCTGCCTGAAAACTATTCTGCAAAGCTTCTGAGCTAATCTGTCCTTTTCCTGCTGTTGTAACATATTGAACCACGTTTAGTGGCATTTGCATGATATTTGTGAATAGGTCTTTAAATAACGTAAGAGAAAGCCTCCTCATTTATACTACTGCCTTACCTTACTCTAGACGGGCATCACAGCCCCCTCTCCCGACACTGATCTACTTCTGCTATTTGAAACGAGTATTTTGAAATATGTTTTCTTATTTTTACTGTTTATAGAATCCTAAAGGACAACAAGATTGAACAACTCAGTGAGCAAGCCTTTAAGACCTTAACAAAACTTGTTGTCTTGTAAGTGAAAAGTCCATTGACTCCCAGTTCGCTCGTTCATTTATTTCTATTTTAATATAAAACCTTATTGCCATCTGTCCACAGACTTTTTTCTTTTCTTTTTTTTCGAGGAATTTCAGGACCACAACCAGTCTTACGCTGTCGGGCAAGAGATCCCATACGCGCTTTTTCGCCTAGAATGTCTGTAAACAG